CAGTACCTGGAAAGGCAATCACTAATTGCAGTTGAAAAACTGGTACAGATGTGCACTCTCTAAGAGATATGATAGTAACTTTGTTTTTCATATGTACTAAGGCATAACATGGTTTAATAGTGAGTGCTTTGAAATGCAGTTGTGTGACAGGGAAATTTAGGAATCATGAACAGAAAATTTCAGATTATCTAGCTTCAAGTTTTTTTAGTATAGTCGTGACACATATGGTAGTTTAATAAATCTGATTTAATATACAGTATTAAGTGCCATGACCATATGGTGTGAGTTCTCCTGTGACTGTCTTATTTCTCTGACTTCACACCTTCCCAAAACTGCAATCTAGTGCTTCCCCTATGTACCAGGAAAAGAGGAAAAAAATCAGAAAGATCTGGGGATGATCAAATTCAATAAATACATGGTTAAGACAATCTAGATGAATCTATTACCTTAAATGGCCACATTTCAATTAAGACTTGAGAATGATGCTTCTGTTTATTCTCAATAGGTTAAATACTTTAGCGATCTTCTTCTAGAACTCAGCTTACAAGAGCTTCAGTCCTGCTTTGCTCTTTTACTGAAGAGCGGCTCTCCAAGCATTTCTGCTGTATGTCTCCTCGTGATCATTTCATTTAAAGTATCAACAAGCAGCCAGTTATGTGAAATATATTTTAAATGTACCTCAGTGGGTTGGAGCACCTGGCTGTGAAGGCAGGGCTTGGCAGTTGGAATCTCCACTCTGTTTCCTAAGAGAAGCCAGGCAAGATCACCTGGCGTGTGTGTGTGGTTGTTTGGAATTACATGCGGGCCCCTTATGTGGTGTTGAGCAAGCTGTAAGGTCCCAAAACAACAGAGGAAAGAGGGACTGGTACTTTATGCCTAGAAAATATTGGAAGGAGCCATAAGTCAAAATCAACTTACTTACTTACTTACTTACTTACTTACTTACTTACTTACTTACTTACTTACTTACTTACTTACTTACTTACTTACTTACTTATTTATTTATTTATTTATTTATACCCCGCCTATCTAGTCATTTCAACCACTCTAGGCGGCTTACAACATAAGGATAACAAGTTCTTAAAAATTTATAACAATTAATTAATTAAGTGATTCTATAAGATGGGAAAATAAAAATAATAAAAATAAACTTGATGACACATAATTATTATAGTATGTAGCAAAAGTAGCTAAAAATAGATTTTACACACAATGACAGTACACATCAGACTCAGTCTGTTTTTTTTAAACTGCATTAAAATCTAAAGATTATCTCTGTTTGTACCACTCTTTAGGCAAGAGGAGAAAATTTATTTGCATGCATTCAGTTCACACCTGCTATATTTAGGCCTTGTTATTGCTGGGGCATAGGAATCTGTTTTCCTCCTTCCCTGTACTCTCTACAGTGACACCTGGGAGTATCACTAAAGCTAGAAATGCAGCTTTAATATGCGGATAATTTTGTGTTTTTCTACATGTGCGAATACTTTTAAGGAACTTGTTTTCATTCATGATGATGGATAGCTCCTCAGGGCTGTATTCAAGTTCAGCAAAGAAACTGATCTTTGTAGTCACTCTTGAAAACTTACTAGGAAGATTTTATGGCAAATATCTTTTTCATACATTTGAATCACACAACACTGTTGCTTGAGCAGTCAGAATGTTTTTCTGAGCTTGAGCAAGGAGGTATTCACTACCCCATGCGTAAACAAAAAACCACAATCATTTCATGGAGCTGATCTCTGCTGTGTGTAATCATAACTTGGCTTGGCAATGGCGTGGAACTGATCTCTGCTGTGTGTAATCATAACTTGCCAATAGCGTGGACTATTGCACCAACAAAATGTTGTGCTCTTAGATCTCCAACACAATGCTGGCCTGTTTTCTGTGGGGTCGCCGGCGTAATTTGAGAACATACTTGCTGATAGTTGTGGTGCATATGCATTGCCCATGGAATAAGTAACCAGGTGCATTTGCACCCGCCTCACAATACGAGCTATGGCTGCGTCACTTGGAAGGTTATTTCCCCACTCCAACCCTCTATGCACATGCAGTAAATACACTGGGAACAGGGCAGAATTTTAAGTCTGGTGAGAGCAGCAATCTCACAGAACACTGGCAAGGAATAATAATGTAATTGATTGCCAAATCATAAAATACATTCACCACATAAAATTATTCTTTATCTGGTTGTCATACCATGTGTTAGACTCTTCAAGCAATCAGCAAGTCTTCTGCCAAGTGTAAAACACAGCATTCCCTCTTTTGTAAAACCTTTCAGTGCCCTTTCTTTCACCCTTTGTCTGTCAAATTGCCTGAGAAACTTTTCATTCAATAGTGGTGTGAGGTTTGTCAGCAGAAAATCTGAATGTTAAGGGAGAAGTGGGAATGTTGGATTTGTAGAAGGGCTTGGATCCCAGTGAAGAGTGCTCTTTCTTTCAGTCGTTCCATGTGTGATGACTATGAATTTAGCTCCTGGTGCCCTCCATCATGGATTCCTGCCTGCCTGCCTGCCTGCCTTCTGTGACCTTTCTTGGATTCTTTCCTCTCTTTTTTGCATTTTCTCTTCATTTTTGGGGAGTGGCTGATTTGTTGTTGTCGTTGCTTATGACAGGTAGCCTGCCTGTGTCAATGTTCCTCATTAGGATTTTTTGGGTGTGCGCTCCACCTATTTTTAAGAAGCTTCCCCCCCCTTTCCCCCTCTCCCCTTCCCTTCTTGGATTATTTTTGCTGCCTCCTGCCTGCCTACTGGATTCAAAGAAGAGAAGAGGTGGCATCAAGTGGTAGGAGGAGATAGATCTCTCAATATTCTAGTAGTTCTCCTTGTGGGAAGCTTTGGTTGTATGCAGAGTAAGAGGCTGTCAGCTGATCTTTGGTATTATTTCCCACAGCCCACTATGCTGCAGCTGTTGCCTCTACTTTTCATTCTTGTTGAAGATAAAAGTACAATATGGTCACCCCCTACTTTCAAACTAACTAGGTGTCTCAGGGCATATTCAGTCTCGTGCTGCTTTGGAGGAAGTTGCAGAAACTTTGCCTGTCCTTTCATTCATCTTTGTTTCACTAAGTGGACTGAATTTCAGATTTTATTTTATGCAAACATAAATCTCCTGTTTTAAGGGCACATAAAACGTCTGTTTTGTGTTATAAAATATGCACTTCCTCTGTCTGCCCTCTGTGATTTATTCAGCGATCATGGCTATCAGGCAAATCGTTGGAAAACATAGCAGCTGCTTCTGTGCGGAGCCTCAGAAGCTTCCCCCCCATTTGTATCCCACAATAAGCAAACTTTTTCTTAGGGAGGGGACTTTCTGCGATATCGCAGAAGAGGTCTGTAGATGCAATAAAAAGAACTGCAAGCAGAAAGCCTTTCATTAGTAAATTATTTGAAATAAATTTTATACCAAGAACGGAGGTATGAATCATTCTAGCTGGTGCATCCCACGTTAAATTACAGTATCCCTCAGTATCCCTCCAGTATCCCTCATAATTGACTGTCCTGGATGGGAGTGATTGAAACTGGAGTCTCAAAAGTCCCAAAAGGACTTTTGAAACCTGAGTCTGAGACCATCTGTGCAGACTGACTTGGTACAGACATCACTTTTTGGACTCTTATCTACAATTCTTCTTCACTACCCATGAAGCAGTAGTGCTTAACCTGATGAAGTGGAATTCCTCTACGAAAGCTTGTAATTTGTTTGATTTTTGAAGTGGTCCAATGAAAGGTATCACCCAGTCTTATATTTGTGGAAGAAACACAAAACAAAACAAAAATAAACAAACAAAGTATGTTGTGCCACTTTAAAGACTAACTTATATCTATGTACAGTAATTTTAAGGACTGTCATAGCCTTTTCCTTGTTCAAGATATCTGGTGGGCCATCTGGCAATGTAGATTATCTTTTAGAGGTATATACAGATTTTATCAACAATATGTGTAGGTTTTGCATGGATATGACATCAATGTATATGTTGTACATATGAATTCTATTTACTGATGAATGTTTGGTTTGATTTATGTAGCTTTTGTGGATTCATTGTCTTTTATGGAAGATTGTCTTTATTTACGCATAAAATTACTTGCTCAGTCCAACGATGTTAGCTCCTGTTTGAATTGTCTTGTCCGCATCAGTTTTTCCTTGCTTGCTTGCTTTGTCTGTCTGCCTGTCTGTCTCTCCACCTCTCTGTCTGTATTGGAAGAATTTTTACATGGCTTCTCGTTTCCACAGGTCCTGAAAGATCATAAGACAAAACATAATAATATAATGTTCACGAATGGTCAGAATGGCTTGTGTGCCGTGGAGAGAACCAAAGTAAAAGTACAGAAGAGGCCTGTAGATGCAATAAAAAGAACTGCAAGCAGAAAGCCTTTCATTAGTAAATTATTTGAAATAAATTTTATACCAAGAACGGAGGTATGAATCATTCTAGCTGGTGCATCCCACGTTAAATTACATCTTCCAGTATCCCTCATAATTGACTGTCCTGGATGGGAGTGATTGAAACTGGAGTCTCAAAAGTCCCAAAAGGACTTTTGAAACCTGAGTCTGAGACCATCTGTGCAGACTGACTTGGTACAGACATCACTTTTTGGACTCTTATCTACAATTCTTCTTCACTACCCATGAAGCAGTAGTGCTTAACCTGATGAAGTGGAATTCCTCTACGAAAGCTTGTAATTTGTTTGATTTTTGAAGTGGTCCAATGAAAGGTATCACCCAGTCTTATATTTGTGGAAGAAACACAAAACAAAACAAAAATAAACAAACAAAGTATGTTGTGCCACTTTAAAGACTAACTTATATCTATGTACAGTAATTTTAAGGACTGTCATAGCCTTTTCCTTGTTCAAGATATCTGGTGGGCCATCTGGCAATGTAGATTATCTTTTAGAGGTATATACAGATTTTATCAACAATATGTGTAAGTTTTGCATGGATATGACATCAATGTATATGTTGTACATATGAATTCTATTTACTGATGAATGTTTGGTTTGATTTATGTAGCTTTTGTGGATTCATTGTCTTTTATGGAAGATTGTCTTTATTTACGCATAAAATTACTTGCTCAGTCCAACGATGTTAGCTCCTGTTTGAATTGTCTTGTCCGCATCAGTTTTTCCTTGCTTGCTTGCTTTGTCTGTCTGCCTGTCTGTCTCTCCACCTCTCTGTCTGTATTGGAAGAATTTCTACATGGCTTCTCGTTTCCACAGGTCCTGAAAGATCATAAGACAAAACATAATAATATAATGTTCACGAATGGTCAGAATGGCTTGTGTGCCGTGGAGAGAACCAAAGTAAAAGTACACATTTTTAATAAATGCATCCATCATGCCAGCATTGAGGGCTGTGATGTTACAGAAGGGATGCCTTCTGTAGACTGGACATTCTGTGGACTGGACAACATCAACAAACAAGCTCACCTCCATGTTGTCACGTATCAGAAATTCACAGACAGTGATGCAGAAGACTGGTACTGTATATGGAGAGACAGTTCTTTAAATAATACCTTGGTTTATTTATTTATTTATTTATTTCATTTCTATCCCGCCTATCTGGTCAGATTCGACCACTCTAGGCGGCTTACAATCAGCAATAGTAAATATTAAAAACACTACAAATACACGAAGATAAAGATCATAGGAGTATAGAAGGAAAGAATCGTCAGGAATTAACTGTTGGAATTAACTGTTGGGAAGACCTGCTTATACATAAATGTTTTTAGTTGTTTCTTAAAAGTGCCCAGCGAGGGGGCCGCACGAATCTCAGGAGGTAAGTTGTTCCATAGGCGAGGAGCCACCGCCGAGAAGGCCCGATTTCTGGTCTTTTCCTTCCGGGCCTCTCTCGGCGTCAGGCTCCTCAGCCTTACCTCCTGGCTTGCGCGAGTGACACGGGTAGATCTTGGTGGGAGGAGGCGTTCCGCCAGATATCGAGGTCCTAAACCGTTTAGGGCTTTATAAGTAAGCATCAGTACTTTGAAGTCGATGCGGAATCGGATGGGCAGCCAATGCAATGCGGCCAGAGTGGGGGAGATATGTTGGTATCTTCTCACTCCACTGAGTA